TTTTTGTGTTAAAACATGGTGCTTTGCAGCACATCTTGCCTAGCTATATAAACCTTATCATTGAGTCGCCACTAGTTGTGTTTCCGCGTTGTCGGAATCACCTTTTGTCTCAATGGTGGTGTGGGGGGTCGAGTCGGGATATTCTTACAGCTCCTCTTTCCTTTGGATACACTTGTGAAGAGTCATATCTTTCGATTCATGATCCTAAATCGTCAGCTATTAGTAGCCTTAGGATTTGAGTATAGAATCTGTATAGATGATCTTCAGGGTGGGCTAGTGTTAAGGAGTGTTGCTGTATGGCACAGATAGGGTACACAGTCGGTCTAGATTAAGATGGGGGACGTCAGGAGGTATACCCTCTTAGGACGTACCCCATCGGGACTTAGCTATCTGCGTGCCCCCAGGTTGAGGGCAATCCGCCTCACCTCAGACCTGTAGCAGACCCGCTTCTGCAATAACAAGCAACCTTCCCATCTCAACGTGCTCGTGGACAAGAGTGTCTACGGCAGAATCTACATCTACTACATCTAGGAGGCAAGCCACCGTCGGGCGGGCATTCCTCTAAACATGCAAGTACCAGGAATTTCGGGCGGAGCAGGGCAGGGTTTGAGGCCTTGAGCGCCGGCGTGGTCATTCACCTAGAAACAAACAACAAACTTCGTAAACGCTCATGTTTGTGCCGTGCGCGGGCCCCGACCATGCCTTCCAGGCATCAGAATTACATTTGGAGCGGTTTTTCTCGCTCGTCGGTGGTAGCGGCAAGACGGCTTTTCTAGGATCCCCGTTTGTCTGGAAAGGGGGTGGGTGTACTCGCTTTTGTCGAATTCCCAGAAAACATCAGCTTACCACGTGTGCATGTAACTGCCGTATTGCTGTTGTTTAGGCGTAGAATGGATCAGCCGAAAAGCAAAGATAGTTCATGCATCTTAGAGATTTTTTCATTTTCCGTGTACTGCTGTTGAAGAAACAATTATGGGAAGTTTATGGGCAAAAATGGGTACTGCAGGTGACATAAGATATCACACCCCATAAAACCGACTGCTAAAGCTCGGTTAATCCATATAGAACAGTGGCGGTGCCAAAATTGGCGACACTTCAAGAGAACGATCGGTATCGCCGAGAGATGTCCGAACACATATTGTTTACTTCCTACGCCCTCTTCGTCGCGGATATATAGAGCTTTGGAAGTCGATTATAGGGGGTGTGGTTTCTTATGTTAGCTGCAGTACCCACTTGTTCACGTACTTCCCACTATTTACTTCGTCAACAACACCTATGATAAACCATCACTCACTACAAACAGGGTTTTCGCCTGATTGAGAGCGGAGTATACGATTGAGCGCGGGAGCCAAAAAAAATGAAATTTCGGGTCCAGACGCCCCTTGCCAATTCTTGGGAAGTAGGGGGCGGGCTCTTCCAAGAAGCGGCGCAAATTGAAGGTCTCATCAGCAGCGTCACGAGCATATGCGTGTCATCGCGATCGGATGCTGCAGTTAGGAGCTAGACAAGTTGCTAGATTTCCCCAGATTGGCTATTCCTGCCTCAAACTGTTTCAGGGCGATTTGATCGCGGGCGGTGAGCTCTGCTATGGATTCTGCTCCCCGCTGTAGCTCCACAACGAGAGACGCCCACAGGATGACCAGGGTATCGGCTTGTAGCTACGGGCTAGGCCTTCAATTCAAGTCACGCAGCAAGCTCCACCTCTCAGCGGTAGTCCAGCTACAGCGCATCGCGCAATCTCGCTTTCAATCAGAAACTTCGCTCTCAGTCACACGAAAGCCTTGTTTACAGATGCACACGACCTATGTTTCAGTTCGGCTGATCCGTGTAGATTGAAGATTGCTCCCCGGCCGGTGACAGTCTATTGTATGTAGTCCAAGCCTTGTCACAGGCTGTTCCACAACCGAAAATACTGATGGTTCGGCCTCCTTCTGCTGTAGGTTTTGCCATTTCCTACCTTTTTCTCAGGGCCCGGGCGTCCCTTCCGTTATCAGAAACATGTTCCAAATTCGACACTATCCGACACACTTTACAGAAGTACCGTATGGCACAACATAACACACCCCCTTGACCGATTTTCAAAGCTCGATTACTCCACGACGAAGAGGGTGCATAGACGAAAGTGTACGTTTTCATAGAGCTCTCGACCAGATGGCTTCAACCGTTTTCGGTCCTGCGACTGTTGCTGCTGCTGAAAATCGAGCTTTGAAAATCGGTCCAGGGGGTGTGTTATCTTGTGTCATATTCGGGTATGATGCCTAGAGTAAAAGGCAGTGGCCACTGGTATAATTGAATAGACATCGAAAGAGGAGAAATAAAACTCACATCCACACGTAGAATCCATCGAACACACACACATGTTTGCAAACGTGTGAGACTGATTGAGATGCATGAGTGCATGAGGGAAGGCACGGCATGCGTACAGCAGTAGACCATGCCGTTCGCGACATGTGTATAGAAAAATGCCGTTTGGCACTTTCTTGGAGGTGTGGAGGATTGCCCATGCTCGAACGAGACTTTCACAGAGAGGCTACACCTCAGTCCCAATGGAGGTACACCACGCCATCCTCGTCATCACTCTCGGCTCGCTCTCCTCCCTACCCTCCTCTCCCGCTGTCGATCAATGCGCAGCGCGCGGTGCATGGCTGGGGCAACGCAGTTGCTATCTACATAGGGGGGTGTTTTTCCTATCCATGCTCCCCCTGTTGGCAATCTTCAAGAGGGCACGTGAATTCAAATACGTGATGTACACCCCCCCACACCCACACCCACACCCCCATTTTTCAGGCGCGTTATCCAGTTTGGTCAAGGCGTTTATTGTATAGGACGTAGAGTAGTAATAATAACGCCGACATATATATGCCATAATTTATAGGCTTTAGTGTCCCATATAACTGAGAGATGAATATGACCACACCAAATCCTAGACCTTTCTTTGTAGCCCGTTGTAGCAGCAGCAATGGATGAATAAATGAATGAATGTGGTCCTCCGGCAACTAACAGCACAAGGAAGTGTACAGCAAGCAAGCACCCTGTCTTCTGTTGTTCGCTACAGAGCAGACAGGGTTTACTACACCACACACACTAGATCCACATGCAATGTATCCACCAACACACAGCAGTGGTCAAACCTACTTGAAGAAGTGACTAGTGAGAGAGGTGTAGGGTTTCGAATAGCCATGTTGATACTAATAGCAATACAATAGAAATATATATATACAATACCACACAACGATGTCACACACGCAGACCCGCAAGCACAGGTACACTTGCGGAACGGCAGCGCGACCAGCGATGGAATCGCAGCCCAAGCATCCGAGGCGCGAAAGCGTCAGCACTACGCTCGTCCGGGACACGTGTCCTTTGACGAACGCAGCTTTAAACTTACCACCTTAGCCGTGGAAAGCTTTGGCCGCCTTGGAGAGGAGGGTTACGAGTTCATCGATGAACTTGCGACACATGCCGTGGGAGGAAGGGACGGAGGAACGATGGCTCTGAAAGGAGTCTTCAAGGAACGACTTCTTCAGATCGTTTCGGTGGCTACACAGGTGGCCATATCTCGGCGAGTGCAGAGGTACAAGCTCGCATTGCGCGGGCGTCAAGACGCCGAAAACAGGCGAACAAGATCGACCTCGGACCAGTCAACGCCAATGATATGGGGATGGAGTGTAGACGCATCGTAGAACGCGTTTTCGTTTGAAGTTGGCGTCTTGTTTGAGAGTAGATGTGACAGATTTGCGTAGAATAGGGTAAGATGTTATCATGAACGGAGATGAAAGGGCTTTTCCAACACGGAGATGTAGCATGGATCAAAGCATTTGTTGGATTTCAGCTTTTACAAGCGGACATCAACGCAGTAGTATTTTAGCAAGCTTACGAACGCATACAGGATACCATCAGGATTGTCATTGGTAAGTTGAAGAGGAGATACTTTTACGATGTAAATGACAGTAGAAATAAGTCCTACATATGTTGTTGTACTTCGTATTGGTTTAATATTCATGTAGAGTATGAGACATTAAGTGAAAGTTTTCTGAGGTACATCTGCAATTGTCGGAAGGCAAAAATAAATAAATAAATATACCACACAAGGTCCTTTACAATAAGGCTTCACGGTAAATAACAGCCCCCCAACACCACCACCACCCCCTGACTTGGTGCTTATTCCAGTTTTGGGGTGTGCATCACGTATTTGGATCCACGTGCCCTCTTGCAATCATTGTGGGGATGTTTGGTTGAGGTTTGGCTTGGGCAAGTGTTGCTGGCAAGATCGTGAACACTTCGCACAGTTGGTGAATGGCGTTGCTGACCGTCAAGTCGAGATTGCATGGGATTTCATAAACCCCGTTCGCAAGTTTCTAGGTTGCCGCCGCACCACAATTCCTTACAACGTGTACCAGTGGCCATTGTAAACACTTCCACACGTGTTGCCGCCTATAGGACACTGAAAAAAAGTGCAGACAAAAAATCACGCCGCTGGTTTCAGCGGGGTTAATTTTTTTTCATCCGCCCCCAAATCGGGTTTTCGTCGCTTGGCAACCACGTCATAAAACAAGCCCCCCCCTCGGGAATGATCGCACCACGTTGTGTTAAAATGGTCACGCACCCTCCAGGCAGTTACACAGTGCTTACAACTGTCTCTGGAAGTGAAGCACCAGAAAATAATTTAAGTNCGCAAGGGGGATGATCGCACCACGTTGTGTTAAAATGGTCACGCACCCTCCAGGCAGTTACACAGTGCTTACAACTGTCTCTGGAAGTGAAGCACCAGAAAATAATTTAAGTCGTACGCAGCTTTGATCCGTATGCAAGGAAGTAAGCACAAGATGCCGAACATCCTTAGCAGGATGCAGCGCACCCTTCATGGACTCGCCGAATACCTCACGGCGCTTCGCGCTTGGTGATGTGAGAGCCTGGTCCGGTGAGAACCCGGCGTGCTCCGTCCCGGCTTTGTAGGGATGCGAGGTCAATGGTCTAACGACTACGGCATGCACGACTATGAGTACA